CCCTTCCTCATCCACTACGCAGATGATAATAAACTATCGTTTCATTAAAAAAAAAAAAAAGAAAAAAAGGGAAACAATTGTACAGCTAATCAAAAATTCATCGAACAAAGAGAATTTATCAAAAAGTTTTCTCGAAGGCGGAAATCGTATCTATCTGGCACACTCGCCAGGACAATGCCGCGATTCTGTAACCCGATATCGGGAGGGCCATTCTTCCGTCGATTCTTCTTCTTCCAACTTTAAATTTCCCCTCCTCTCAAAAACTTTTGAAACTTTCTTTTCGGATCGTCCCGTTTTCAGAGTCCGGCTCGAGCATCCTTGGCGGTGGAATAAGGGAGAACGCTATACCGGAGGCGTTGTACGCCACCATTCCAGACACGGCGAACGCGACCGCAAACGAAACCGGAAATGGTCAATTAAACGCGCAAAGCAGGCCGGTTTACGCCATCCCCTCTATGGTATCGCCACCGCCCACCTACGACGTGGCCATCTCGAAAACATGGCAGGTAAGGGATTTATTATTAATCTTCTTCGAGATCGGTTTCGAAAGAAATAACGAAAGTGTAATTAATTTTTGGTATTGCTTCGAATGCGATGAGAATGGAAAGATGTATATATGTAATACGCTTTTCTTTGTTATTCGAAATTATTAAAAATTAAAATTGCGAGGATAAATCGGTAAGAGAGAAAAATTTTATTTTTCAACTTTTCGTTCGTTTTAAACGAATGTAATGTATAATAAATTGACTGTTGGCAAAAATCAACGCTGATGAATCATCAATTTACGTCGCAGGTTAATTCCATTCGAAGTTGTTGCACGGATAAATCCTTATTTATTTATTCATTTATTTATTTTACGTAATCCTACAACATCGAATAAAAAAATCGTTCGTCGAAATATTATTTCATCGATTTCAAATAAGTTTCCTTCGAATATCGCTTAAACTCTTTCGAAGCATTTTTTTTTGTTAAAAAATCGCGTCGTACATTTCCAAAATCCTCTTTGATCAAAACTTGTCGGGTTACCTTGTTAACTCCCCTTACTTACTCTCTTATTTCACTCTCTCTCTCTTTCTCGACGTTTTCGAAGCTATATAAAAGAACAAGAATAATGGTGGCTTGCGGTCACCGATGTTGTCACGAAATTGAACAGCGAACGATGTATCGATGTATCGATGCGGCGTGGTTGCACGCGATGAAATTAGAGATCGTCCGTCCGTTCGAGGAGATTTAACCTTCGAGTAGTAATGAACTGTCCCGGTCAGACATCCCGGATAGAATCGAAATCCTGGACCAACCGCGGTTGTCAAAGCTTTTCGTTCACCCGACGATCGACCCGATCGATCCTTGTGTGTAACGGAGATCCCCTCCCCTGTCGTGTGAACGAGCCGACGACGTTCCGTTAATTACACGACGCTCGAGTTGCTGATTGGACGCGAGGAATATTTCTCATAGACGTTTACGA